AATATATTCACATTTGTGAGCTTGATGGTAATTTGTCTTCATTAAAACATTCATCCTAGCTGAAACCGGTTTGGCTCAGTGGTAGAGCGTCGGTCTGTGGACTGAAAGGTCCCAGGTTTGATTCTGGTCAAGGGCATGTACATTGGTTGCGGGCACATCCCCGGTAGGAGGTGTGCAAGAGGCAGCTGGTCGATGTTTCTCTCTCATCGACGTTTCTAGCTCTCTATCCCTCTCTCCTCCTCTCTGAAAAATCAATAAAATATATTTAAAAAAAAAAAAACATTCATCCTAAAAAACTTCAATATTGTAAAGATAAAAATTGGGTGGAAGGGAATGTCAGACTTGTTCATTTTATTTTTTTATTTCTGTTTTTTTCTCAAATTTTGGTAACAGTGTGTTTTAATTTTAGTAATCAGAATAAAAGGAAGACATTTTAATTTTATATATTGATGATATGGGGTTACTAGAAATGACTACTATTGTAGTCTTTTACCTTTCCCCTAATTTATTACATCTTCATAGATTTTATTTAATATTTCTGATTTTTAAAAATGACTGGATTATTATTGATAGATTAAGAATAATAAAAATAATTTTTAAATTAAATAATTTCATATAGTAGTAATAGAATCTGCAACTAGCAAATTGCTTATGAATGGACTGTGTAACCACAGAATTGCATACTTTTAAGTATTGCATGAGCCCAAAATAGATCTCAGAACACCTAGTGCAGATGACATTTCATAGAGCTGAGTTAGCATTTTAATCAGAATTAGAGGGATGCTAAAGCTTATAAACCTAATAAGATTCACAGAATGAAAACAACTGTGATACATGACATGCTTAGGTGAGTTTTACACAAAGACAGAAAAAAACAGAAACATTTTGTTAGAATTGTGCTGATGAGTGAAGTTATGGGTAGGCTGATTCTTAGCGGGCATTGCACAATGAAGAAAATCTTTCTCAAAAAATGTTGGCTTGATCCAGACTGTATCATTATCCTGAGAAGTGGTTGCTGCCCCAAACTTGGATGATCTCACAAACCCCCTGCACTGGTGGCAGTCAGTGAAGCTGTCAGGGGTGCTGCGTGAGGAGCCCTCCGGCCTATCCAAGCCGGTGAAGACATAACTGAGGTAGACAAGGAGGCACCTGGGCTGGCGCTGGGTTCCCTTCCTGCTCAGCCACATGCCAGCTTGGAGGCCTTGACCAAGTCACTCCATCTCTGAGTCTCTGAGCCTCAATGTCCCAAAACACCTAGTAAGACAATGTATATCCCACAGAGGCCTCCTGCAATCAAATAAGTATAAATACATCAAACACCGAGCAGCGCCCAGCCCATAGTAGTTTCTCCAAATACTTTGGTTCCTTCCTTTTTGAGATGGGCCTGGAGCCAACGCCTCCTTGTCAGAAGGCATCTGGCAGCGGCACAGCCTGGGGTCCAGCCTGAGAAGATGCTGTGACTTTCAGTGCTGTTTACTCTGTCCCTTTGGTCCTCTATTTAAGAAAGAGGAGTGAGCCCAAACTGGGTTTCCTTCATTATGTTGGTGTGACTTGCTATACACTCTCTATGTTTCATTCATTTACGCCCCTTCATATAATAGAAGTTAACAAAAGATTATTCTCAGGTATTATTATTTGTTAGAAAAGCTATAATTGTATATATTTCACTGCTCAGGGAACAACGTGATAAAGAGGAATATCGGAGAATTTTCTACAGCAAATCACCAAGAAAAAAATAGTCAAGAAAATATCTTAAGAAATTCACTAAGGACGTGGAAAAAGATGGTTTTGAAGTTTTATTTAAAAAGAAAGAGGCTGAAATAACTGCTGGAGGGTGTCACGACATAGTAATCAACTTGTAAAGTCCCACTATTCTCTTTTGTTGTTGCTGAGAATGATGGGAAAGCACACGGGCTTAACGTAATCCAAAACCACTAACAAGCTTGAGTGTGTGTGTTCAGTGAAGAGTTCATTTTGCTGTCTCCATCTTATTTCAAATAACAGATTCATATTTATCCTTCAGTATAGTTACAGTTAGAAATTGAGCTTGAAGTCTGGATGATTATGAGCATATAGTTCTTACAATGTTTTGAGCCATTGGCTTCAAAAAAGGGGGAGAAAAAAACCTCTACTGTTGTATTACTGTCAGCCCCACAGAGCTACCCATAAGCAAAGTTGTATAGTTTTATGAATTGTCAACTCAATTGTCAGTCGGGTTCTGAATTTTAGAAATGTTGTCCCACGAGATAAATGGACAAGGCAGCAATAACACAGTTTGATTTCCAGGTACGAGGTGGAGGTGGCAGTGTGATCTGGGGAAACCTCGCTCTGACACATGAGTGTGTTCGCAAGGTTTGGCAGTGGTTTCAGATGCCAGATCTGGAACTGTGGCGACGTCCTGGTGGCAGGCCTTCCCATTCAGTCCTCGGACCTGCACTGCACATGTACACAGTGAGGCTTTCGGGGGAATGACTCCAAGCCAACGGGCTGTGAAGGAACACGCTGCTGGCAGTCTCTAACCTGGGTGTCATGACTCTTTTCAGGTAGTAGGTGTAACCTTGAAGAAAAAGTGGCACTGTCTTCAAAAAAGTGACCTGACCCTGGCTTTGGTGGGTTTCTCTGCAAGAAATCAAAAGCACCGCATGTGTTAATGATACATCCTTTCTAGCTGACCACTGCTTTGTTCTAGAGTTCAGCATGAAAGGACTACTTTTTGTTTTGGTTTGTTTTTTTGTTTTGTTTTGTTTTGTTTTTTAGTGAAATGGCATGTCCGTTGCTAATTCTAGCTCCTGTAGTTGCACATGTGAAAAATATCTATCTGTAGTTTATGGATTGGTAGCATTTCAAATAAGGAGTGGATTGAAATATTGACCTGAAATTTTTTGAGATGCTCATCAATTGACCTTTTTTTTTTCTTAGCTCAAGAGTCTGAATTATTATTTCTTTTTTTAAAAAAAATTATACATTGTAACATTAGATATGCTCTCTTAAGTATGTTAGGAATTTAAATGTAAGCATGCCACTTCGTTCATTGCTATCTTATTAGAAGTTCTTGGAGCATGGAAAGAATTCTTCACAAATGATTTTGCTCTTTTGAAAAAAAAAAATAAGCTCAAAAATATTTGTTAAACTATATAGCTTGTAAAGGTATGCAAATCTTATAGTATGTAATGTCTCATCCCAAAAAATTTTATATTTTGAAAAAAATGTAAAACAGTTTAATCGTTCCATAATAATCTTTTCCCAGAATTCAGAATTGTATGCATCTCTATTTTTAGGAAGTTCGCATTAAATCATTAAAGAATAAACTTGAGATCATTTTGCTTCCCAATTTTTAATGTTTTCCTTTATTCTTCTAGTAGTCAGTGATTCTAAGGATTGTGGCCATAATGACATTCCAGACTATATTTGATAGTAACTCCTGATAAATAAAATCTCTTGTGGTTGATCTTTCATCATGAAATAAACATTATCATTCAATCATGCTAGTTCTTAAATAAAAGTAAAAACACACACACACAAAGAAATAAACTTAGAGCAATAAGGAGATTCACACATTCTAAAATCTAGTAAATATAAAGTTTTTCTTTGTTTTCATAAATAAAAGCTGCCAGTTGTTATTTAGAAAGGAATGCCTGAGAAAATGGATGATGAGCACATAACAAACTGAGGGCACAGGAGTTGTATAGTAGAATGCAATTAGAGTCACTCCTTATTCATCTCAGAAGACTGGCTTCCTGGAATAGACCTACCTTGTAAATTCTTAAAGCTCTGTGCAAGTCCATGATGATAATGTGATTCTACCCTTTTGCATTACATAGAAAGTAACAAGTTGTATTGACCTTTAGAATTCATATTAACCCTAACTCCCATTTATGTTGGATTGCTCTTAATTCCCTTTCAGACACCAGACCACATATGTCCCTTTTTGTTTCTGGTCCTATGATATCTCTGTATGCTGCATTTGTATTTTAAATAGATTTACAATACAGATATTCATGTGTGCTCTTATTATAAAATTATTTTCTCCAGAGAAGCATTGCCCAGAGACATAAGAAAATTGAATTTTTCTGTTTTAAAAGTGTTTAGAGATTATTTAATTTTTACATAGTATGAGATGCTTCTAATTGGATTGAGAAGATAATATTTTATTTCATTTTTTCCATAATGCCATATTTACTATCAAAAATTTAATAATCTGGTATACCAAAAAGACAGAAAGCCAACATACCCCTTTATAATTTATAACTCTGTTTGTATAAGACAAAAAAATATATGGATATGGAATATATATATACCTATATATTTATATCTATATCAATGCCTTGATTAGTAATCATCTTTATTTATACCTGGATTTACAGATTCTCCACTGAAAAGAGATTTTAAAATTCTATAAAAATTATTTTGTCTCAAAAACATTGAGAGTTACAAATTTTTTACATACTAGCTCCACAAAGTAAGCTGGGTGAATTCCTGAGACATTAGACCACTGAAGAATTTTTTTAGAGGTTTTTATGACACTTTTATTCTTTTTATGCCAAATCCACTCAAAAATGACATATTCCAAAGACCACCCACCAAGCCTCCATGGGAATCAGACCCTGATCCTAATCCCTGTTCCAGACTCCTTGTCATTCAAAAGTCTTAGAAATTATATAAGAATAATTTATAAATGAACATAGCAGGCAATTCATAATGTATTTAAATAGATGCTACAAATTATGTTCCTGTCATGTAAATTGCCTAAAATATACCATACATATAAAGTACTATGTTAAAATTAAATGTCAGTTGTAAAGGTGAAAAAGTAGCTAAAGTTCACAATCTTTTTTCAGATATTGTGTGTTTTCTCTTCAGCCAAAAGCCTCAAGATTCACTTGCAGCAGCCTACTTCTTCATTTATGTTGGATTGGTCTTTAAACATTAGACTATCTTGTAATAAATAATAACTTAAAGATTTCTCCTGACACAAGTCATTGTTGATTTCACTGTTATAGGGGAAAGGCTCTAGGGCGGCAGATAAGGCTGTTGCCATGGTGATGAAGGAGATACCGAGGGAGGAGTCTGCTGAAGAAAAGCCCCTCCTTACTATGACATCACAGGTGGGCAGACCCATAGGGTTCCTGTAGGAAGCTGACATATGTTAATATATCAGACGCTGTGATTTTTAACTAGCGGAAAAAAAAAAAAAAAAAAAAAACATTAACTTGAACTAATTTCTTTAAAAGCAGTTTCAATGAAACAAATTATATGTTCTAAAGTGAAAAGAAAAATTGCATTATTTAGTTATTTACTTGTGGATATTAATTTTCATTAACTTCAGTTTAAAAATGTATGTGCAAGTAAAATATGTTGCTTCTTTATAAAGGAGTCTTGGTAATAACTTTGGGAAAGAAATAACAATTAAGCTAATGGTACATTTGAAAAACAACCAAAGAAATCAAATTCCTACGAATAAATACAAGTTATATTGTATACATATGTCAGTTTACCAGTAGAATACCTAAATTTTCTTAAATGTTAAATATATTTATGTTGTGACTATGCATACTACATATGTCTATACATATTTATGTGGGTGACTAATTTACAGGAATGAGCCAGAAGTCCCTGAGTCCCCCTGCAGAAAATGGCATCTGTGACTCCTCTTCTACTTAGTGACCTTGACAACAAAAATATCTCTGTTATAAGCACATGAGAGCCATTTTCAGCATTTATTATAGCAAATATAGAAAAAAGTTTGCATTTATATGCAAAGACATGCTGAGACTGTGAATCCTGTATGTCCTTAGGGACTTTTGAAACACCCTGTAAAATCCACATAAATATGTATAATGTACCCATCACCACTCTGTGGAACTATCAGTTTTAAATTCTTAAATGAAAAATATTTTTACTTGCATTTATCTTGTCATTTAGATTAGGTTGTTATCTTAAATATTTCCTCTTTTTTTTCCATAATGCAGTAGTAAATGCAGTTATTTAGTGCCAATTATGTGAACATGTCTACAATTAGAAAAATGTCCATTTACAGTCCTCATGAAAGGCATTTATCTCAAAAGCTAAATTATGGCAACTTATTTTCAGAATACCATCAGATCACATCCCCAGCTGCTGCCAACATGTGTGGTTTTCTTTATTCTGAACGCTATGTTGTAGGGAATGAAAATTATAACAACATACAACATCAAAATTGAACCTTAAAAAAAAAGTTATTAATGATTCCCAGGACTTCCAGATAAGTTTTATGTTGTGAGTTTTTTATCCACGAAAAAGAGATGTTTCTACCCAATGACACAGTAGTAGTTGGAAAGAAATTTGCTTAATATTGACCAAGGTCTCCATTCTTTACACAGTTTGCATAGTAAAACATAATACAGTTTTTCATTGATCTCTTGCCCTTTGAAGAGATCCATGTCCAAAATATTCAACCCATAATTTTCTTAGGTCAATGCTGAGGAAAGTGAAAACCACTTCAAAATTCTCGGCTAAGGACAAAACCACATACACTAGTAAATAAGACCTCTCCAGACTTGGAATTGGCATAGTTGTGCTTCAACGTATCACCTCAGAGCATCACAATTGAGGACAGGGTCTAGTTTGCAAAATGCCTTTTCCTCCAACCCTTGCATTGGTATGTGCTTCCCAGTAATCCGTTTTAAATGTCCAAAAATTACCATCGTCACCTAAGCTTGAGTTTAAAATGTAATGCAAAACAATATTTTTTATTTTTTAATTTAGAAAAAAATTGTGATTACCATTTTCTCATATTCAGAACATTTGTGTGTACCGAGTTCCTTATTTAATCCCTGTCGAATGCTGCATTAACTGTTTCTGAGATATTAGTGACCATTTTACTGCATGAGGATTAAACAATGCTTTCTTTGATGCATCATATTCTTGTGGCATACTGGCAAGCTTATGAATCAGCAAACAGAGTTCTGATTCATAAAGTGCAATGCACCTGTTGTGTTGATAATTTTATGAAATTCAGTGACAGCGGTGGTACGATTACTTCTCAGTTAAATGCAGTTTTTATTAGTTGATATACTTTTTCCACTGTACACAAGTGGCCTCTTCCCTGCTATGCACAAGCCCAAAAGCAGCAGAGTGATCTGAAAAAGTGAGTACTCCTCATGGCAACCACAGCATCAGTCCATGTGCCATACCACATCCTTATACGTGTGAGTGCTTTAGTCTTGAAACATGTTTGTCACAGTGTCTCCTGTAAAGCCCCTCAGGACATAGTGCTACATACTGCTGAACACATCGACTCATTTTCATCCCTGGTATGTCGATGCCAGCTGCTCATTCATAGATTCCCAACATGTCTGATTGCTGCTCTCTCAGTGGCATTCTTGGGAAAATCACAATGGATAAAGTATAAAACATGTCCTTGAAACAATGAGTTCCTAACCTGTTTAGTAACTGTGTATTCAACAGGTTGTAACGGCAGAATAATTTACACTGAAGGGTTTTCTTGTATTGTGTGATCACTATGATCTCTCTCAGAGGGATTCAGCTAAACATACTCCAGGGAAGTCATTTATAATACAGTGAGCAAACCAAACCAAACACAAGACTTGGCCAGGTGATCTGCACTCAGAGTTTGCTGGACCCCTGAGAGCTACTCTTTTTATTCAATGTAATTATTCTGTATTAACAAACAATACGTCAAGCACTTCAAAGAAGCTCAAGTCCATGCTGTCTTAGACTAACACTTAAAGTCAAACAGTATGTAAGCAAGTGTGCATTGATGAAAGGATTGAAGGAAAGAAAGAAATAGGTGAATCATCAAATCTTAAAGGAAAAAGTTTTGCTAGACCTGTGCTGTCCAATACAGTAGGCATAGCCACATGTGTCTGTTGAGTCCTTCCTTTGTAACTACCCCAAATTGCAATGTGCTATAAGTATAAAATACACACCAGTTTTTGAAGTTTTTGTGCAAAAAAAGATATAAACTGACACATTAATAATTTTATGTTGATTACAGTTGAAATGATAATATTTTGGATATATTGGACTAGGTAAAATATATTGTCAAAATTATTTTTACCGTTTTATTTTCACTTAAAAAAAAGCTACTAGAAAGTTTAAAATTATTAGGCTCTCATTATCTTTCTATTGAGCACTATTCTAGACTGCAATAGTATAAATAAATCTACTTTGAGGATAGAAGGAAAAACTATATGTCAAAGATTGATCATATTATAGAAAAAATTATATCCTTTATAAAAATGAAATTACTTTAGCAATTTTTTTTCTCATAAAGGACCTTAGAATTTTTCATTTTAGCCATATTTTCTGGTACTGTTTTATCAAGATATATCCCTTTCATTTTTTGCTATAGATCACATTATCTTAAACAATGTGTTCCAGACCTTTTATTGTTAAGGAGATTTTTTTCATGTTTTTGCAAACTTGATCTTTGTTTTTCTATATATCCCACCACTTATATCTTAATATTGATTTAATTTTTGTGTTTGATAAAGATAAAAAGAGTAATGTCCTTGGTTGGAAAAATATTCTTAAAGCTATTAAATATAGCCTTATTTAGGTTTCTATTACTAACGAAACAATTGTTTTAATTATGTTCTCCTGTCTGCCCTAGTGTTAGTACTACCCAAGTTGTAAACAGTAATATCTGTTCATTTTCCCATGAATAACTTCACAATTATAAATCTAATTATCCTGTCAGGATAATATTTGTAGTCAGTTGAGATTTAGATCAAGTCAGAATTGAAAGTTATTACATGATTATTCTCTACAAAAAGATCTTCTGGTACTCAGATACTGAATAAAAACTGGGCTATGGGCAGAAACATTAGTACTATTAGCTCATAAGAATTTAATTCTGCCCATTGTTAAGAGTTACCAAGACAAAGCTACCAAGATCTGTGTATTTAAAGGGCTCATGATAACAATTTAGTTGTCTTGTCTTTTCAATGAAATAAGATAACTTAGTTTTGATAGGGTCACTATTTTGATGGGCATTGTACAAATTTCTTAATTTAGATACAACTAATAAAGCCATAAACAAATAGTTCAATTACAAAATTATGAATGAAACATACTCACCAAGTAGCACATGTTTTGAATCAGTGTCAGAAATAATAAAGGCATTTTCAGAATGCATAAAGACAGACCTTTTAGAAGCATATTTGTGCTTTCATTTATATATAAATAAAACATTTTTTAATTTTTTTCTATTATTTAGATGAGATAAAAGACATGGTATACTTTTGCAATTTTTTAAATTAGCATTACAAATATGTTTTTAACTTAGTAACTTCAAAGTTTTAACTTTTAAAATTATTTTTAAGCACTAAAATGTTTAAAAATAAAAACAGAATATTTTATTCTAAAATAATTTTGAGATCATCAATCTGAATTGTAAAATGATGGAATAATGAATTATTATTCTTAACAGATCTTGTTTTATCATTGAAATGTATTTTGATTTGAAGTTAATTCATAATGATATAAGTTATCACAAATTTTTAGCTCTATATTTTTTAATGAAACACCTAAGCTATATATTGGTTAAAGACAAATAAGCTTAGATTTAAGTCACAAAACAAGCTATGTAAACATATACTGGAGTTTAAGTAACAGACAGTATTTAAAAACAGAAAAATCTTTTTTTCGTTTTGGTTAAATATAGCCTTATAACTTAGATCATATAATAATTTATTTTTAAACATTGAAATTAGAGAAATTCAAGTTGAACTAAGACAAATGCATTTTTAGATAGTTTTAAAACAGATCATAATTCATTAAAGTTGGATGATATTATCTGCATTTTGTTCAACACAAAATATAGCGTTGATATAAAAACAACCAGTTTGGTCCTGTGGTGGCTTATATTGGCCACATCAACTAACCGTCTAAGTCATAAATAAACTGAAGATATTTGAGTATTTCATTCCCAAGCTATGATTACAAAGAAGGTGTAAGGTTCAATAGTCTTTTGAATGTGGAATAACAAGCCCCTCCTTGCAAGTTCTCATCTATCTTCTAACTTCCGCTGTTTCCTTTTGTTTCCATGCCCAATGATCATGTAAGGGTGGGTTTTCCCTCAAAATCTCAAAATTTGAATCTC